GTTTGTTTTGCACTCAGAGATGCTGTTAGAGCTAACCATGACAGCAGTATGAGCTGACAGAGGTTCTCCTCCATGGAACAGCGAACCGGCCTGGCGTGGCAAGCATCAAGGCGCCTGACTCAAGGGAGCAACAGGCTGATCGGGAGCAGCCACCCCCCCGGGTGCTACTCCCTCCCCTGCTGGCTCACGGCAGCCAGGGTGACACAGTCACGTGGGAGCAACTTACCGGCTGGGGTTTCTCTACTACGCAGCAGCCCAGCTTGTGCCAAAAGTCACTCATATTCGCAGAGGCTTCCAGTTTTTCTTTTTTGCTTCCTGATCGCTCCCGCTGCTCAATGTGGTCCCGGCTCTGCCGCCCCCGGCTTTGCTCCCACTTTCCCTGGGAGGGTGGATGGACAGACGGACGGACACACACACAAGAAACGGCAGCACAGGCCCTGCTCGGAGTCACTCCATGGAGCAGGTGGTATATTGGTCTCCGCAAGCGAATCCCAGGGGAACTGGGGGGGAAGTCCCTTTCCTTTCAGTTTTCAGGATCGTAGGTCGCCGTTGGGATCCCCAGCCCAAAGCCTGTGTTGGCAGCACCTACCAAGAAAGGGGAGATTTGATTAAGAGGCATTTCACGATGCATCAGTGCACACACAGTCAATACGACAGTGTTTCTTAAACTTTTTAAGACCGAGGAACACCAAATCATTTTTTTTTGTTTTAATGAGGAACACCAAGGATTTTTTGTTGGGGGGAGGTGGGAGGAAAAGGGATCGGGGGGAAAGTTAGAGCCAAAAAAAAAGTCACATACCCCTTTAAGGGCGGCCATTTTAAATTTTGAACCCAGTTTAAGAACCGCTGCTGTAGGATGAGGCTCCATTCCCACCGCACCCAACCCTGCATGCATCTCAGGGAGCCAAGGCTGGGGTACTGTTATCTCAAGCAGGCTCTTCTACCCGGGGAGCAGTGGCAGAGAAAAGGACGACTCAGTCAGCCCAAGCAGATGTAAGCTGGAAATATCCCTGTGGATGGAGGACTGCAGCCGCCACCGAGCAAAACAAAAGACCCTCGAGTTACTACGCTATGTGGCATGTGGCTTCCCCCCACCTTCCAAGGTAGCCTCCCAGCGGCACACTTTCCCAAGTCCAGAGGTCGTGCTGTTGGTCAGTCAACAGATCTCATGCTTCAGGGCATAAGCTGCAGGGGGTCAGGAAGGAAGCAACTTACCCCATATGACAATTTTTGGAATTTGGGATTGGTTACAGCTGCAGGATGGATGCCACACCAGACAGACCTGTGGCAGTATCTGGCTGTGACATATGCTGCATGCTGAGCAGATGGGAGGGGGGAGGGGCAGGACCCCCTGGATTCTGTTCTCCCGTCCCTGGGGAAGTGTGGTCTAATGGCTGGGGAAAAGGGAATGCCTGAGTCTCAATTCCTAGCAGGGGTATAAAATCCCATTTAATTGGTTAACCAGTTAAACAGATTTAACCAGTTAATCAATTAAAGGGGGTGCAGGCACGGAAGATGTTTCCACTGATTAACTTAACTGGAACCGGTAAGCATCGCCCATTAAGGGTGATGCTTACAAGTTACCTTTCACATCCCTCATTTCTAAGTTCCAGTCCCAGTTCTGCTACTGACTCGCTGCAGGAGTTGAGGGTCAATCTTTTCCCCTAGTCGGGACCTCAGTTCTCCCATCTGTAAAATGGGTGCAACTCTCACTTTTCTAGCATGTTGAGTTCCCTGCACAGACACGAGTCACCATAGAAGCGTGGCATTACTAGTCTCTGAACTTTGCTCATTTCTTTTATAGTCTGGAGAGGAATCACAGCGGTTCCTTCCAGGCTTAGAAATATTAAAACACTTCAGACACACTCACAGCCGCTTCAGCTTGAGCTTCCTCTGCTTTGCAAAGACACACTAGGTTCTGCTTCTCAAGCTCAGGGTGGGGTTGCAGCACCTTCCAGACACAACCGTAACCACTTCCTGGGCGGCAGCTGCAAGCTGAAGCTCTAAACAACATGCCAGCGAGTTCCCTTGAACTTTCCCCTGGCGCTCAGCGTGGTCTATTTTAAAGCGTCCTAGAACATGCCCAAAGAATCAGAAAGATCAGCCGACGTAGCAGTGGGAAGCGCCATCAGGACGGGCCGTGCTGGCCAGGAACAGGCGGCGCTGCTTGTTCCTGGGGGTCTGGGCCGAACGGAGACAGGGGCGGGATCTAGTCGAGCCGGGAAGAATGATTCTTCCCATGTCCAAGGAAGAAATCCGAGGCACCAAGAGGGAAGCGAGTGGCTCAAGGTACCAGTAGGAGCGCCGGGAAATTACCAGCCCCATCAACTTTGGGCCACATGGTGTGTGTGTGGGGGGGGGGGGCACATGCATGGAGAGAGGAAGGAAGGGCTCACAAATACATGTACTGTATCGACAATATCTTTACAATGGGGTGTTCAGCATCACTGGCCCTGCAGGCACATGCTGTTCTCAGCCAGGTTTGCAAAGCTGCCCTCTTTCTTCTCTGTGAGCTTGGTATTCCCCACCCAGCCCCCGGCATGGAGCATACCCTTGCCCTGGCCACAGGGTGAATCAGACGCCCCTGCGCTAGCCCCCAGCTGGCTGAGTGGGTTGGGAACACGCCCTTTGTGAGTGGCGGTGGTCGAAGCCAAAAACCCAGCACCCCCATTCCCATGCCCTTGTTCCGGAGCAAGGCTGGCATAGAAAGAGTCCCGGCTTCCCATCCCTAGAGCTCAGGGGAGACGCAGCCCTATCCCTGTGCAGATCCATGGGGAGAATCGCTCTCCACACCTCCCGCCTGCCGGGAGAGCAAAACTGGGCTTCTGTCTCCAACGGTGCCCATCCCTGTGGCTTTCGGGCACACCCCTTAGGGCAAGGGTGTGCCCAGGCGTAGCAGCCCCCAGGGACCATGGCCCAGCCGCTGGGCGGTGATTGTGGAAGAGACTTGCCCCCAGGCCAGGCTGGGTCAGCAACGCTCGGCTGCAGCACAGGAGAAGAGAAGACAGCGGCTCCAGGGAAGAGTTATTCAGAGCAGAGCCTCCAGGAGCACCTGGCATCACCACTGTAACGGCTGGCAGGCCTCACAGCGAGGCAGGCAGCCAGGTGAAAACGCTGGTTGGTATCCTCCCGCCAGGGTCACAAACCCCCAAAATGCCCCCTTCTGCACCCGCCTATAGCTACACAGGCTGCTCTGTGCTGAAGAACCTTGCAGCCCTCCATTCCCAGCGGCTCTCTCTGCCACATCAAGCTCCATCCAGTTCACTGCGCGTGGGCAAAACCCCACCCCCCAATCCCATCGCACGGGCTGCGAGTGTTAAAGACCCCCGAGCACTACGAAGGAATCTGCCTGGTTTTCCTTGGCCAGAATTTCTCCTCTCCCTCCAGAGCACTGAGTTTAGAGACCACCTGGATTGGAGCGGACTGGAAAAGTGGGTCTTTCCCCACCCACCCAATTTGTTTTCGTCAACATTTTCCACAGACGCATTGGAATTTTTGCTGAAACAAGAAAATAGTTCAGTGCCGCCGCATTGCCTCATGGGAGTCGTAGTGCAGGATGTGTGTCCCCCCCCATTGTTCTCTGTAGCCCAGGCTGTCTGGTAGAACTACATCTGCCATCATCACCATGGTGCATCATGGGAGACAGTTTGGCTGGGTCCTCCAGCCCGAAGAGGAGAATGGGGACATGAGGCCACCCAGCTGCAATGTTTTGACACTGAAGGATCTGCAGATGTGGATTGCTCCCTCCGCCCTTAAATGGCGGGGATGGGGAGAGAGAATTCTCATAGCATCATAAGGGACCACACAGGTCATCTAATCTAACCCCCTTGCCAAGACGCAGGATTTGTAGCGTCCACCCTGTCGAAGACAGACGGCTAGTCAGCCTCCTTTTGAAAACCTCCAGTAAAGAAACTTCCACGACCTCCCCAGCCATGTCTGTTCCGTTGTCCTGATGTTCTTACAGGTAGGAAGTTTCTCTGGGGATTTAATCTAAAGCTGGTTGGATGTAGGTTGAACCCACAGCTTCCTGCCCTGCCTCTGTGGCAAGAGAGAACAATGTTTCTCCAACTTTTTTATGGCAGCCTTTCAAGTATTTGAAGTCCAGTATCCCGCCCACCCCCTAACCTCTTTTCCCATCTAACCATACCCAGTTCCTTCAGCCATTACTCGTAAGGCTGCATTCCAGCCCTTGGATCCTCTTTGCCACTCACCTCTGGATCCCTGCCAGTTTTTCTACATCAGTGACCAAAACTAGACTCAGCACTCCAGCGGAGGCCTAGCCAGTGCCAAAAAAGTTTTTTTTACAGTCACTTCCTGTGACTTGCATGCTATGCCTGTGTTAATGCAACTCATAATTGCATTTGCTTTTCTTGGCAATAGCATTGTACAGGTTGGACCTCTCTAGTCTGGCACTCTCAGGACTTGACCGGTGCCGTACCAGAGAAATTGCCGGACGACGGGAGGTCCATATTGTCTAGCAGCATGACCAACACATCCACTGCTTGCTGGGTTCGGAGAAGACATTTAGGGGTAAATTAGAGCTGAATAGCAGTGCAGAACATGGAGACCCAGGACTGCTGGCTGTAAACAAACTTTATTGGACTGTGGGAAACTTGTCCACCATCAGGATAAGTGGACATCAGGCTCTCTCAGACTATGCTGGATCATGGATGTTGCCGGACCAGAGCGTGCCAGACTAGAGAGGTTCAACCTGTGCTGACGTCTCATGTTGAGGAAGAGACGCACCGTATCTCCCAGGTCCTTCTCAGCAGTGCTGCTACCAAGCCGGTTTTCCCCCAGCCTGTATTTGCACATTTGGTTTCTCTTCCCTCTGGGGAGCAGCTTCCATTTGTTTTAGTTGAATTGCATTGTGTTGTCTACAGCCCAGTTTATCAAGATCTCGTTGCAATTTAGCTCTATCCGCCAAAGTGCTTGCAACCCCTCCTCCAAGCTGTGTTTCACCTGATCCGTTTGCTCTCTACTCCTTCCTCTGGGTCATTAATAAAGATGTTCAACACCAGATCCAGAACAGATCTCTGGGGAACCCTTCCAGGACACCGCCTTGTAAGCTGCTACTCTTTGTTGGTGACACTTTAACCAATAATGTATCTATATAATGCAGTTCCACTGAGTGTGCACGTTTCTCCAGCTTATTTAGGAGAACATCACGTGGGACCAAGTCAAAAACCTTCCTGAAGCCCAGGTAGATAGTCTCCCCCATCCATCAAACCAGTTACCTTGTCAAATAAAGAAATCAAGCTGATTTGGCATGATTTGTTCTTGGTCTATCCATGCCGGCTGCTAGTGATCACCCTTCATCCGCCAGGTATTGTGGTCTGAACATTTGCTATGGTGTTATAGTAGCTTCCCTGACTGGTTGAGTTAAGCATTTTTAAAAATTAGCTAGATTTTTAAGATGGATTAAAAAAAAAAATCCTCTCGTCTCCTTTAATCAGATTTCAGCCCTCGCTGATGTCATGAGCCTGCCAGTTCACCAGTCATCTGTAATGTACTCCCAGGGCTGGGAGAAGATCAGTTTAGGCACAAAAATCCAAGCCCGCTCCACCCCCTTTGCAGGTCACCTT